GGGAGCGACCATATAATTGGGGGGAACACCTCTTACAAATACTCAGAATCGCCTCAATCACTAATACTACGCCAAACAAGAAGAAATCGTAGCAGTGAGGAAACGTATGGAGGCAGTGATATCACTGCGATTGTAGTGCAGAAGACTACTTGAACGAAGGAGTTACACTTGTCCGGGTGGAGCGACGGCCCTTACGACTAATCTCCTCAATCATCTCTGGACTCATCTTCATCACCTTAGACATGGCCTTCTTGTCATATCTTCAGAGCTTGCTTGTGTTCTTTATCACCTAGAATATAACCAATAAGGGAATTCTCATTACTCATGTATTCCAGAACATACCTGGTATTGACCGCTCCTGATCTCGTTCTCCTTCTTCCTTTCCGCCTTCTCCACTCGTTTCTTATTGGCAATAGCTCTCTTCTCCTTCGCGATGACTTTCAATTCTACTTCACGACCTTTAACCAGGGATAGATCGCGCTCGCGAATTTTCCGGGCATCAAACTTGCTCACGCCGGGTTTAGCAGGAGTACGATAGTCTCTTTTGCTCGCTTTTATTTTGATAGACCTGGAGAGATGCTATACGAAGCTGATACGGTGACTGACGAGGTGTTTCTACTCGACTCTCCAATGTCGAAATAGAACTCCATTGTCGAGTCCCAGGGATCGATATAACTGTGCCATTGAATATCCATTGAAATTTTCAAATGACTAGCCTTCACGGCGTTATACAGATAAGACAGCGCTGCCCGAAAGTCCCAATACTACTTTCGTCCGGGAAGCTGCTTCCAGGGTCTCCCACTGACACACAGCCGAGACGGATTCTGAGCCTTAGGAGGTCTAACTTTGGTCATAGCTGATATGGACAATACACTATACTAGTTAGTAGGTCACATCGCCCCTAACACGTCTTCATGGGCTCAGCGTAAAACTCTATGACAGAGCCATGCATAGAATATCATATACTATTGAGTGTTTAGTACATACTCTGGAAGGATATCCCCACCGCAATGGAACGTAGATCCACCACCCCGAAACGAGACGTTGCCGTGATTAAGCGAATCCCTCAGAAGTTCGAAATTTAGAACCGCGCTCGCCACGAAATTATGTGCTCTGACCGTAACCCCACAACTGAGCGCAATCACGACCGAGCGCAACACAACTGAGCGCAAAACTTCATGTAGAAAACTACAATCAACTCCTTCTCCAACGTCAATTAGTAGTACAGCGGTTGGGGTGTTTGTCAGGGTTAGCTGTTGGCAACTGCCTGTTGCTGTGAAACAGCTCCCTGACGCTCTCGACTAGTCGTACATTTTGTGCCTTGTGAATGATTCACTGCCAAGTCTTGAGTGGTTTACACTAGTGACTTGGCTTAACTCGTACGCCACCGTGACGTACTACCGTAGTACTACTACGACTAGTCGAGGGCCCTGTACACTAAAGAAAAAAAATTGTTCATACCGTAGTTGAAA